TGGCCTGTGGGATCCTCCCAGACCAGGGATCAAACCCAGGTCCCCTGCACTGGTGGGTGGATTCTTTACCACTGAGCCACCAAGGAAGCCGGAAAAGTAAATTTTAATGAAAGCTTTGCTCCAGGAACAGTTTTTAAACTCCTCTAAAATATTAAAGACCCCCGCAGCGGTAAACCTGCCTGCTGCGGTCCAGGCTGTGGCCCGTCCGAAAGGCTGGCAGCTGGGGCGTGAGCCTCAGGGCAGCCCGAGAGTCAGGCAGACTCAGTCTTCACACTCCCCCGTCTCATCTGTTTACAGTTCCATCTCGTGCCGTGTTCTGATTATCAACCCAGATAATAAAAACTTGTCCCAAGTTTCCCCCTCATTTTGGCAGAGTTTTTTCCTCCTGCTTTGGTAACCTTCTCAAAGACCCCATTTCTATAGAGTTAACAGAGTCTGCGGGGAGCAGGCCAACACATGTGCTTTTTGGGTAAGCAGCGGCTGCTGGGTGATGGGGTGGAGCGGCCGTAGCCTCCAGGTTAATGGTCTTTGACAGAATCTTTTCATCAACCAGAAAATGCTGGGATATAAATCTAAGGGCGTTCGAGGGAAACTCCATTTTTCCAGTGTACGTCTCTGAAGGCCAGAGCAGAGCCTTGGTTTTATGTCTCAGTAGCCACACTGCCTGGCACTCAATAAATATTTTTGGAATGCATGAAGGCTGGGGCGGTAGGCAGGATTTTGCCAGAAAGAGAAGAGGGAACAACTAGAAGGAACAGCTGGAAGGAAGGCCCCGAGGTACAAGGAGAATTACCGTTTGTGGAAGTTTAGGAACTTCATGGCATTTCTATATGATGATTTAATTATGGCATGTAAAGAATAACATTGTTGTGAAATAATAAGAAATATATCGGAGGAGGAAATGGCAACCCACTGCAGTGTTCTTGCCTGGGAAATCCCATGGGACAGAGGAGCCTGGTGGGCTGCAGTCCGTGGGGTCGCAAAGAGTCAGACACGACTAAGCGACTAAATGACAACAATATCAACAAAAAATATACAGGTGAGACTCTGTTGCTGGTTCCTGGCACAGCACTCCTACCTCCCTTGAGATTTCCAGGTAATAAGAGCACTAGGAGTGGGCCTTCCCCGGTGGTCCAGTGGTTAGGACTTTCTCTTCCAACGCACGGGGTGAGGGTTTGATCCCTGGTTGGGGAATCTCACATGTGCTTTATAGCCAAAACACCAAAACATAATACTGTAACAAATTCAACAAAGAGTTTAAAAATGATCCACATCCAAAAAGAAAAAAAATCTTAAAGCTAAGCAGACAGAGAGCCTAGGAGCATCCCTTGTTCTAAGGAGGTGAGCCTGGGTGGCTCCCGGAGGCAGGCTGGTGGCCAAAATACAAGCCAGGGTGAGCAGCTCGGAATTTTCAGCCCCTGTCTCCCCAGATCTCTAGAGAGGCGCAAGAGGCTGGTAATGCACTTTTTAATAAACAGTAGACATTTCCACCACTTCTGTGAGCCACTCTATCAAGTGACTCACACTCAAGTCAATCATCGCAGCGTCTGCTATAACTGTTGGGTCAGAAGCACCAGCGAGGCCGGGTTTGTAACAAGCGTCTGCAGTGGGGTGGGGAGGGCAGTCTTGATGCGACCGAGTCCTGATCTGTGGGGTTTGGTGCAACTCCGGGGCAGCGGTGTCAGAGCTGAGTTAAGTTTCAGGACACCATGCTGGTGTCCCAGAGACTCGCGGACTGAGAGCCCTCCGCACGTGGTGATCAGAAGCGAAGTGTTTTCCGTGAGCAGCAGAGGAGACCCATCCGCAGGCCAGAAACACACGGGGGCAGAGGGACGTGGGACAGAGAAAGTGCATTCTTCAAAAGACTGTGTTAAATATGAACATTAGGAGTTTTGAGAATTCTGAGGAAATCCTCACTTTAGAAAATGACTTTACACTCCAATAATAAATGTAAAGTGACTTTATTGAGGTATATTTTATATGCGCACGTTTTAAATTTAAACAAGGAAGTACACACCTGTGAAGCCCTCACCCCCATCAAGGTACAGACACGTCCGTCACCCGGAAAAGTTCTGCGGTGCCTCCTTGCAGACGGCTCTTGCCCTCCAACCCACCCTGGACGGCGAGTGGCCCGTTTCTCTCACCGCAGGTCAGTCATTCCTGTCCTCGGTGTGCAAGTGGAACCAGGCCCCGCAGTGCGATGTCCGTCTGCCTTTGTTCAGCAGCCTGTGAGAGGCCCCGCATCTTCACACGCGTCGGCATCCCACTCCTTTGTGCCTGTCGCTGAGGGGTGTCCTGCTGCGTGAGCATGTTACCTATCCCCCTGCTCACGGGCCACCTGGGATAGAGCTGCTCTGGTCCCTCAGATACAGACGCCTCTGTGTAGACACACGCTCTCATTGCTCTCGGGTAAAGGTCTAGGGGCGGCTTCAGCTGGGTCATCTGAAAACGGTACTTTTTGGGTCCCCGACCCACAAAAACTGTCCCAGTGGCCACTGTGTGAACAAAGGGCTCCGGCCGGGTGGAGTGCCGTCCGAGCGGGTGGGGAGCAGCTTGCGTTCTCGGGAGATGTGGACAATGCTCGTGTTCTTTGAGGACACGAGTGACTGTGGGGAGACGGCACCGAGCTTGCTGGTTCGTGGTCTGAGCTGACACGAGTGACTGGCACATCAGTATCTGGAGGTGGGCTTGTTTTAGGCAGCGTAGCAGGCCTCATGCTTGCTGACACAGGAAGACATCAACAGGAAGTTACCGATGCTGAGAGTATGTTAGTATTTTTCTTCATGTGGAAACTATAGACCTAAAGCAAACTGACTTATAAACAAAAAAGGGACTTCCCTAGCTTATGCAACCAAAGGGAGCGGGGGTGGGCTGGCTTCGGACACGCTGCAGCCTGGGGCGTCTCTCCCCGGAGCTGCCCTCTTCCCTGCCCTCGTTCTCAGCCTCCTGTGTGGGTCCCCTGCTCACCCACCCCGGCAGCTCCCACAGAAAGAAGCAGCTCTTCTCGAAAGGTCCTAACAGCATCCCCAGCCGGTTTCCACGGCTCTGACGGCTGGAGGGCCTCGTGCGGCTGTGAGCCTGTCACCACGGCGCCTGGCTGTGACGCCGCGTCCAGGCCCGGCCACGTGCAGGGAGGCCCGAGGCTGGTCTGAACCAGGAGCCTGGTGGGGCGGGAGGCGGGTGGCAGAGCCCCCTGGAGCGGTTCCTGAAGCAGAAACCGTGACGCCCATTTCTGTGCTCCTTAGACACGTCATGCAAACTGTGCTATGTCGGCGTCACCCGGGGCCCTTCATCTCAGAGAGAAAGCAGATGAGACTTTAGTGACAAGCGGCAGGAGGGAACCCTCCACTTTTCGGGATAACTCAGCAAACACACGGGAAGGCCTTGCTGCCCACAAAACAGCGTGACGCTCAGGCACTGACCTCCACGCTTCCCCGAAGCAGGGGCGGGAGGGCTGCTCACAAGGCCGTCACCCCGAGGGGAAGACGCAGGGCCTTCCGGGCGTGCTGGCTGCAGGCCTGCTTTGCCCAGACCCCGAAGGGCACGAGCAGCTGTCGCTGTCGGGAGGCCAGCGAAGGGAGGCCAGCTCCACGGGGCGTTCTCCCCGCCAGCACCCAGTGGAGACATCCACTCGGAGCGCTGGATTCCGGGAGGTCACGGACAGAGCAGGATGCCCTGGCATTCGGTGACCCCTTCACCTGGGACAGGGAGGCCCCCGCCCCCCGCCGGCTTCCTCATTCCAAGGTCTGCCTCCAGGCACCAAAGCCTAAGCCCAGGAGGAGAGTTATTTCAAGCCCCCCAACACTCGGCAGGATCTCGAGAGCAGAGCGTCTAGTCAGACTTCCTGATTTCTTTCTCCAGACCTCACGGCTTCCGGCTGGGTGACCTTGAACGGGTCCCCTCACCTCTGTGAGCCTCACTGTCCTCTTGAGTTGTCGTCGTTGTTTGGTTGACAAGTTGTGTCCGACTCTTTGTGACCTCACGGACTGCAGCGCACCAGGCTCCTCTGTCCGTGGGATTCTCCAGGCAAGAAGATTCGAGAGGGTTGCCCTTTCCTCCTCCAGGGGATCTTCCCGACCAGGGATCGAACCTGCGTCTCCTTCATTGGCAGGCAGATTCTTTACCACTGAGCCACCAAGGAAGCCCTTCTTCATCAGTAAAGTAGGAATAATCTTCACACCTGCCTTAGTACCGACCGCCTGTCACACGGGGCGGCTGTGAGGAACAAGAGATGGTGGGAGCTGGGGACTCGGGCGGGTGAACAACTCTACAATACCCAGGGTTGTTCAGGTGCTGTCAGAAGTGGTCATCCCGGCCCCAGCCCCTCAAGAGACCCAGACTGAGCTTAAAGGATTCCTCATCCCCACCATCCAGGGTCGGCTTCCAACATCAGTCAAACAGAGCAAAGAGGCTGGAATCCCAGGATGTCCCACTCCGTTAGCTCTGCTAAGTGATTCCGCAGCCAGGCCCAACAGACGCAGAGCTGGACTCTGCTGCCTGTGGTCAGACCTCCTGGTAGCGGTGACTCCGGCCTTGACCTCTATGTTTGGACCGGAATCACCGGTGGCCCCTTTGCCCAGGGGCAGGGCAGACAGCCCTCTATCTTATCTACGGAGCTGAATCCACATCATGAAGACTGCCACACCCTGCTGGCCAGTGTCCCGTCCACCCCACCCAATCCCGCCCTGGAGCAGCCCCGGGCAGGCTTTTACACCTGCAGTCCCGGCCCTGATTTTACACCCAGAGGAGCTAACAGCTGAGCTGACCCCACCACCCTCTGCCCGCCCTCTCCTGCCGCAAGCACATCGCTTCATGTCTTTGGCAGAACCAGGGACGGGCCACGCTCCTGACCATCTCAAGAGCCATTCCTGGTCCCCATGCCCGCCCGGTGCATCACTCCCTGAATCGCCTGCACCCCGTGACGGCCGTGGCGGAGGTGAGGACAGCAGCTTTGACGGGGCTGAGTCGTCCACCCGAGGTTGCGTGGTAGCCGGCCCGGGATGCAGACGGACGTCAGCCGGGTCCCCTGCCGGCCTCAGGATGCCAGCCTGCCCTGCAGCACTGCTCTGCCCGCCCCATCCTCCCAGCAGAAGGTGGTGCCGGGGCCTCCTTCACCCCGAAAATGCCTCACTCCTGGAGCCCCTGGCTCTCTGCCCCAACGCTGGAGACCTTGGGAAACGCCCGAGTGCTTCCCCAAAGGAAAGTGCCCGCCTCCAGCTCCTGAGGTCAGCTCTGTGAGCCCTGCCCTCCCGGGGACGCCACTGAGCCCGCATGCTCTCCAGAGTCTGCTGTCTAGTCAGGAGACTCACCTCTGCATGCCTCGGTCAGTGAAGAGCATAAAGCCCCAGACAGGGACGGCTCCTGGGAGGCCTGCCGGACCTGACCGCCCCTTGTGTCGGACTCAGGCCTCTCCCACCAGGAAGGCTCTGGAGTCCGACGCTCCGTGTCGCGGCCTCTGTCTCCCTGCCGGACGCGGGGCTGCAGAGAAGTGCAGGGGACCTTCAGGCCCTCCCCAGCCCCGGAGGGACTCGCCCTCTCGGGCTGAAGCCGGGCCTGGTCTGAGCGGCCACGGGGGCTGGGGATCGCCCTGGTGTGAGGGGGCGCGGTCTGCAGAACGGATCTGAAAAGTGAGATCTAGACTCCGTTGTCTAGGACTCTATTTGACACGTTTACCTTTTTTCTCGCCTAGATGATTAAAGAAAAAACCTTAATGCCTTGTGTCAGATGAGACTTTTACACAGAGAAATAGATGTTTCATTTTATTTAAAAAGCTTTTATTTTATTTTGGAGTGTAGCTGATTGCTAATGTTATGATAGTTTCAAGTGTTCCGCAAAGTGACTCAGGTATGCATATACGTGCATCTCTTCTTTTTCAGATTCCTTTCCCGCTTAGGTTATGACAGAATGTTCTTTCCCTGTGCTCTACAGTAGGTCCTTAATAGTTATCTATTTTAAATGCAGTAGTAGTGGATACACGTCCATCCCAAACCCACAATCTGTGCTTCACCCCCATCCTCCCTCGCTGGTAACCATATGTGCGTGCTCTAAGTCTGTGAGTCTGTTTCTGTTTGGTAATTAAGTTCACTTGTGTAATTTTTCTAGATTCCACGTGTCGGTGAGATGTGTATTTGTCTTTCTGTGTCTGACTTCCCAGTATGATAATTTCCAGGTCCATTCATGTTGCTGCAAATAGCATTATTTCATTTTTTTTTAATGGCTGAGTAATATTCATTGTGAATATGTACTACATTTTATCTATTCATCTGTCTATGGACCGATTGTAAAGCGTACTTCTATGAACATTGGGGTGCATGTGTCTTTTTGAATTTTGGTTTTCTCAGAGTACACGCCCAATAGTGGGGTTGCTGGGTCATATGACAGTTCTGTTTTCAGTTTTTTAAGGAACCTCCTGCTGTTCTCCACGGTGGCTGCACCAGTTTCCATTCCCACCAGGAGTGTAGGAGGCTTCCCTTTTCTCCACTCCCTCTCCAGCATTTCTTGTTTGTGGGCTTCTTGATGATGGCCATTCTGACTGATGTGAGGTGATACCTCATTGCAGTTTTGATTTGCATTTCTCTAAAAATTAGTGATGTTGAGCACTTACTTTTCACGCGCCTCTTGGCCATCTGTATGTCTTCTTTGGGAGAAATACCTCTTTAGGTCTTCTGCTCATTTTTTGATTGTTTATTTTTGATATAGAGCTGCATGAGCTGTTTGGAAAATTTGGAGATTAATCCCTTGTAGGTCACACCCTAAGCAAATATTTCTCCCATTTTATGGGTTGTCTTTTAGTTTTGTTTGTGGCTTCCTTTGCTGCACAAAAGCTTTTGATGAGTTAGGTCCCACTGAGAAACAGATATGTTTAGGTGATGGGAATACGAGCCGAGGAGTCCCTCCTCTTCCCAGAGGACAAAGGACCCCTGAGGATGGCACTGCTATGGTTCAAAACTTTCAGCCTGCTTCCCGAAACTGCCTTTGGAGTTTGCAGCACATTCTTTGAATTTCCTCACTTGCGAAAAAAATTTTTTACACTCCTGACTTTCAGAGGCTGAAAGTCTGTTGAAACCAAGTTGAGTGATTCGGCTGAGAAGCATGACCTGGGACTAGAAGTGACCTTGCGTATGACTTAAGGAGGTGGGTTTCTTGTCCTGTGTGGCTCTGAGGGTCCTGAATTTCTTCTGCGGCCCAGGAGGCCATGGGGAGAGGAGGCCTCACGCCGGCGACGGTGACAATGAGTGACAGGCTGGGCTCCCATCTGCTCCGTGCTAGCTCGAAAGCACCACGCTCCCTTCTGATCTCAGCTGAGCATTCATCCCACACATTTCCATTTAATGAGGGCAGAAACGTGTCCAGGCCCCGGGGGGCCCTGAGAAGAACGTCCATCCCCGCCCCCCGTCCACGAAAAGGTGGCTTCTCAACTGCTCCCGCTCAGCTACGCTTTCCAGCTGGTGAGATGAAAGGCTCCTCCGGGGTCTGTCTTCTCTGATTTTCAGTTTTCTCCCTTTCAAAGGAGAACGCATGCGCCGGGCCCCCGTCCGTTTCCCCCCCAGTCAGATCTTCGGCTGTGAGGTCCTGCTGGTCCCGCCGTGGCGAGGGTCCACACGCAGCGCCTTCATCCAGTCTGCAGGAGAGAGGCCTGCAGGGGCTCCAGGCTCACCCGGCCGCCCTCGGAGGGAAGGTCCACATGCAGCGCCTTCACTGAGTCTGCAGGAGAGAGGCCTGCAGGGGCTCCAGGCTCACCCGGCTGGGCCAGGAGGGAAGGTCCACATGCGGCGCCTTCACTGAGTCTGCAGGAGAGAGGCCTGCAGGGGCTCCAGGCTCACCCGGCCGGGCCAGGAGGGAAGGTCCACATGCGGCGCCTTCACTGAGTCTGCAGGAGAGAGGCCTGCAGGGGCTCCAGGCTCACCCGGCCGGGCCAGGAGGGAAGGTCCACATGCGGCGCCTTCACTGAGTCTGCAGGAGAGAGGCCTGCGGTGGCTCCAGGCTCACCCGGCCGGGCCAGGAGGGAAGGTCCACATGCAGCGCCTTCACTGAGTCTGCAGGAGAGAGGCCTGCGGTGGCTCCAGGCTCACCCGGCCGGGCCAGGAGGGAAGGTCCACATGCGGCACCTTCACTGAGTCTGCAGGAGAGAGGCCTGCGGTGGCTCCAGGCTCACCCGGCCGCCCTCGGAGGGAAGGTCCGCATGCAGCGCCTTCACTGAGTCTGCAGGAGAGAGGCCTGCGGTGGCTCCAGGCTCACCCGGCCGGGCCAGGAGGGAAGGTCCACATGCGGCGCCTTCACTGAGTCTGCAGGAGAGAGGCCTGCAGGGGCTCCAGGCTCACCCGGCCGCCCTCGGAGGGAAGGTCCGCATGCAGCGCCTTCACTGAGTCTGCAGGAGGGAGGCCTGCAGGGGCTCCAGGCTCACCCGGCCGGGCCAGGAGGGAAGGTCCACATGCGGCGCCTTCACTGAGTCTGCAGGAGAGAGGCCTGCGGTGGCTCCAGGCTCACCCGGCCGGGCCAGGAGGGAAGGTCCACATGCGGCGCCTTCACTGAGTCTGCAGGAGAGAGGCCTGCGGTGGCTCCAGGCTCACCCGGCCGGGCCAGGAGGGAAGGTCCACATGCAGCGCCTTCATCCAGTCTGCAGGAGAGAGGCCTGCGGTGGCTCCAGGCTCACCCGGCCGGGCCAGGAGGGCAGACGGCCCAGGTGGCGTCGGTCCCTCCTCTGGGCACCAGGCCCCGTGGACTCTGGACTCCATGTCGACTCCATAGCGTCTACGCTAGCGCGGGGCTCACCGTTTGAAGCTCTCTGTTGCCAAGAGAGGCTGTTCCGCTTTAAACCCAAGTGCAGGCTCGCTAATTAAGGCTCTCTCAGAAGCTTTGTAAACAGCCGCCCCCGCACCTGCCCCCGGCAAGGAGGGATGGTCTGTCCTGGGCCTGGAGGCCAGTCTGGGGAGAGCTGGTTAGTGTGTTTGCTCCGGCGATGTGGCTGGTTTTCTTCCAAGGCAACAAAAAAAATCAATAATTTCTCCCCGCCCGCCCCACCCCCTACCCCCCCGGGTGGCGAATGCAGTTTTCGATGGTAACACACGAGGAAGCTAAGCGGGTCCTCTCGTTGTCTGACAGCCTCTCGCTTTCTCGGAGAGGAACCTGAGTGCCAGGGAAATCCAATCCTTCCACCTAAATGGAAGATTCCATCAGAGGCCAGCCCAGGGCGAGAGCTCAGGTCTGGAGCCCAGTTAACACACCCTGGGTGCGGCTCCCCAGAAACCGTGTCTGTGGAGGACGACCAGGGTCAGCCGTGCAAACAGTCCACGAGACTCTTTCCCTCACATCCCTCCAACCTCAGTTTTCTGGAAACAAATACATTCTTTCTGAGTTGCTCTCTTAAGCGTGAAGCTCTCTGAAGATATGACTGTATAGCCTTCGTCTTTTGAACCTTGTAGGGGCTCAACAAATGGGGATGAAGGGATGAATAAAACCAGGCAAAACATCACCTCCCAAATCCCCTTTGACACTTCTGATGGTGCCAATGAGTTTGGTTAACCAGCCATTAAGCAACTTTCACCATCTTTCCCTCTATTATTTTGAAGAAGTTGACTTCTTTTAAAAACATCAATGCAATATTTAAATTGAAATCAAAAATAAAAATGCTACTCACCCAAAGCTTCACTTTATCTCCTGAGCTTAATTAAATGGGGTCCCCAAAGAAATGTGATTCTTCTGGAAGTCCAGCCTCTTATGAACTCTGCCTTCCTTGAGATTTCTGAGCCTTTTTCAAAATTTCTGAGTCTTTTAATCAACCTCTTACTCAGCACTTAGTCCGGGAGGAGCTGACTTCTGTCCACGGGGAATCATTTTGCAAATATCGCAGAGACTCATAAGGCAAGAAGAGGCTCTGAGGCTTAGCACTCACTCACAGCCTTGAGGCTCCGTGGTTTCTGTGGGTGCTTTTGGGGGTATGTGGACACATCGGGGGCCATGGTCTGAACAGAGGAGGAAGTTCCTCTTTCTTTCTGGCAACATAATTAAATCACTGGACCAATGGAAAGTGAAAGAGCTTTGCAAAGTTAAAAGCAGTGCAAATACCCATCATACTTTTGGGTTGGCCAAGTTTGTCCAGGTCTTTCCATGCACGCTATCATTCTTATTTAATATCACTCAATTATCACTGAATTATTGCTCGCTATTATTCCACTAAACTATTAATGTTATTCTCACGGGTGCAGTGACTGAATGTCAGGGGAGATGATTGCTAAAAGCCGGTGTTTCTCCTGAAGGGACTCTTGCTAGGAGGGGTGGGCATTGGGCTTTTCTTTACAGCGAATGCACATGACGTGGAGTGGGCAGCCCTGAGATCCGGGCTCCCCACATCACCAGGGCCTCCTGCTGACGGCTCCTCCCATCTCGGTTCCTCCAGGCACTACTTGTTCTGAACGCATAGACCATGTGCTGGTTAGATGGTGCTTGTGAATAGAGGAAAATATTTCCACTGCTTTGCTGACTGCTTCCAAGGTCCTTTTCTGTCTTAGAGGAAAAAAAAAATCCACTTGATAAAATACTGTCTGGTCCCCAAGGCGGCGTCTGCCCAGTAAGTAGATTCCCGTGACCACTTCCTGCCTCCTAGACCTACAAGGAGAACTGGTAGGATTAATGCAAACTTGTTTAGTCACTCAGTCGTGTCTGACTCTTTGTGACCCCATGTCCTGTAGCCCGCCAGGCTCCTCTGTCCATGGGGATTCTCCAGGCAAGAATACTGAAGTGGGTAGCCATTCCCTTCTCCAGAGGATCTTCCCAACCCAGGGATCGAACTCAGGTCTCCAGCATTGCAGGCGGATTCTTTACCACTGAGCCACCAGGGAAGTCCTACTGCATACTTAAAACCCTTCAAAACATCATATAATCAGCCAATGATGATAGGAGTTTTCAAGGTGGTCATGATTTCCAGTGTGTTGCTGGGGGTATTTTTATAGAAAGAGAGACGAGGTGGCTGCCCCGAGTCCCACGTGGGGAGAGTGTCCACTGACGCGTCCAACGATGGTGGGAAACTTCAGGAGAGCCGGTGAGGGCAGCATACACGGCCTTGTCAACTTAGGGTGGAGGCTCTCTGCTTGGGGTCTGTGCCCCTGGAATTACACGCCAATTGTGTTCCTTTTTCTGGGGGAGAAGTTCCCATCTCTCCTTGGGCTTTTATATGGGGTCAAGTTGTCTCGAAACTTTAACTTCCTGAATTTTTAACGTTTATTTTTTCTTTCTCTGTTTGGCTGTGCTGGGTCTTCGTGGCTGTGTGCGAGTTGCAGTGAGTGGGCCCACGCTCTGGCTGTCGTGCACGGCTCTCACTGCCGTGGCTTCTCTTGCTGTGGAGCACGGCCTCCAGGGCTGTGGGCTTCAGGAGTTGCAGCGCATGGACTCAGAAGTCGGAGCTTCCAGGCTCTAGACCACAGGCTCGGTAGCTGTGGTCCACAGGCTTAGCTGCTCTGAGGCATGTGGGGTATTCCCAGGCAGGGATCGAACCCGTGTCTCCTGTATTTGGTAGGCAGATGCTTTATGAAGTGGGGATATTTTTTTAATGTCAATTTACTGACATGTGCCATTAACAATCCCACTTTGCTACAACATTTTAAACATGCTGTTTTTTAAAATGTGGATAATTTTACAGTGAATTAATTTAGATCTAGAACTGTAAAAGGCGGTGAGAAAGCCATCCCACGCATTAATGTGCTCCAGAACCAGGCACTTCCCTCCCCTGGATGAAGTGTCAGTGTGAATGGTGGCCTGACAGGTATCTAAAAATGTGGATTCTTGTTTGAGCCTAAAACATCCATTGACCCTCACGCCATGTACCATGATGTACTGTGCTAGGACAACCGCCCAGAGGCTGAAGGCCCCGATGGGGAGTTCACAGTCCAGGGGGCATCTGGCGATAACGCGGAGTGCTTTGGGAAAAGCACGTGCAGGGCATCGGGGAACTCTCTGACCCCAATGGGGGCTCAAAGAAATCTTAAAATATCCTTGAATTGCTTCTGTGCTTTAGGAGTTCGGGAGGTGATGCGCAGGGTTGCTTCTGAGGAGGGAAGAGGCCAGTTTCACATGTGTAGGAATCATCTGTGGCTCTTTAAAATGCAGATTCTGAATCTCCAGGGCAGACCGGGCCTGAGAAGCTGTGTTTGCGAGAAGCTGCTGGCCGACCCCACTTTGAGTAGCTCAGGCTGGCCAGGACTCACAGCAGGGTACAGACACCTGGAGGAGTCTCTCTCTCTCTCTCTGAAATGTTTTAAACTTTCAGAAAAGTACAGGCAATAATGTAAGCCGGTACCACCTCAGTGTTACAGATCTCAGCATATCTGCCTTGTGATTTTTGGAAGGCACACCTTCCCTTCCCGCTTCTCCCTCATTCCCCAGCAGAACCCGCTTCTGCTCCTGGCGTCTTTGTTCACCATCCATGGTGACAACAAGAAGCAAACATCAAAGCAGGGTCTAAAACAGCCTGAACGTGTTATAGCCCATCAAACCAGACCCATCGGGTGCTGGAGAGTCATCTGTCTGAAATGGGTCTCTGGAATGCACCAGGACGTTGAAAACGGCTGTGAATTATGTTTACTTCATGCTTTACAGCAAAAAAAAAAAAAAAAAAAAAAAACCACTGGAAGCATCACGGTTCCTGTTTGGGACAAGGCGTTTTTCTAATCCCCCAAGTCGTGCAAACGTTGAATACAGTGTCTAATTCCAGTCTGTGGAAGAGCCGCTTCTTTCCCACAAGGCAGCTAATGTATGCGTTTGCAGACACAGAGGCCAAAATAAATCAAGCAGGCCTGCTTTGGTCCCCGCAGGTGATGAGAGGCAGGAGGAAGGAACGAGACCAGGACGACACAGCTGGCACCTCCCGCCTGGGGGGGCTCGACCACACGCACCTCCCAGGTCTGCAGGGGACGCGCCAGGCTTCGGCGATACAGACTTAACGGGGCACCTGGGTCCCGAGGAGTCACCGTCTAGGCAGGGAGGACGACAGAATTAACGTCACTATGGCGTGGGGAGGGCTCAGTGCAGAAGAAGGCGGGCTGTGAGAGCACAGTGTGTGAGCCTCGGGAGACACAGGCAGGCCTGCTGGTCACCGGTTGCGGGTTTCATTATCGTAGCCGTTGTCTTGGCTGAGCTGTGGCAATCGCCTGTGCTGTTTGCTTTGTAATTCGGGGCACAACGCTAAAGGCCTGCGGTCTGCGGTGCTTCCTGCGTGCGGGCAGGAATTCACGAGTCAAACGCTCACTTGCTGGGGGGGGTGGGGGGTCCCTGCTCGTTTCTGCGGATGCTGAGGATCGACGGTGTGGTGGGGTTTGGTTTCACCATTAAACGGTCCTTACCACCTTCTGACGTCTTGGCTCCATGTCTTTGGATAACAGGTCCACACACTGGAGAGGGAGGTCGCGTTACTCAGAGTCTAGAGAACTGAAAAATAAGAGTCTGGTGACTGTCTCTGGAGCCTCTGGGGTCTGGGCTCAGCCTGGCCTGCCCCCTGCCCTTGGTGGACACCATCGCCCTCTTGGGCTGAGACTGGACACAGCTGAGACTCCTTTAGAACCCAATATTTGCCATCATTGGTGGTGGCTCGGAGGGTAAAGAATCCGCCTGCAATGCAAGAGACACAGGAGACGTGGGTTTGATCCCCGGGTCAGGAAGATCCCCTGGAGGAGAAAATGCAAGCCACCCCAATATTCTTGCCTGGAGAATCCCACGGACAGAGGAGCCTGGCGGGCTACCGTCCATGGGGTTTCAAAGAGTCAGACACAACCCAAGTGACTGAGCACGCATGTCTCTGTTCTAAAAGTGCCTGCCACCCCAGAAAGAGAATGTCAGCCTCCCACACTTACAAGCGGGCAAGAGGTCAGTGCAGATAAACACAGATGTGGGCTTTCGGGATTTGACTGTCAGACCACGTGGGGGCCCAGAAGCTGTGACCGGGAAATCGTTAGGTGTGAGTGTGCCGAAAGGCCTGCACACTGGTGGCTGGTTTAACCCTTGGGAGGAGCCTGGGGAAAGGTCATGTGTGCCCATCCCCACCCCCCACGACAGTATTGAGACCCTCGTGGTTGAACGGCTTCCCCGGGAGGCAGGGCCGGGTTGGGGGTCGGGTGGGGAGACAGAGACCCATTCTCATGCCAGGAATCACAGCCGCCCACACACCAGGCCGGGGGAAGCGCTGCTGATGGAGTCAGGGAACAAGCTTCGTGTGTTCGGGAAGGTGGTAGAAATGTGGGTGCTCATACGGAAATGAGCCGTGTGTTACTGGACACTGGAGGAAAGCAATCCTGGTTAAACAATAACTTGACTATGTTCTAGGGTTGAGCGGATGGTGGACCTTGCGTGTGATGAACTTGGATATTTAGCTGAGGCGATGTCTAAGCCAACTATGAAGGAGCTGCTCGATTTGCTTAGTGTAAAATGAGAGAGGAGTGAGAGAAATTAAAAGCAGGGCCTGGAACAATGATTTGCACACCTGTGCTCACAGCAACATCCTTCACAGTGGCTGGGAGGTGGAAGCAACCCAAGTGGCCATTGACGGATGGTGGATAAACAAACGTGGTCCATACACACAGTGAAGTATGGTCCAGCCGACAAAAGGAAGGAAATTCTGACACAGGCCACAACGTGGATGAACCTTGAGGACGTGATGCCCGGTGAAATAAGCCAGATACAAAAGGACAAATACTGCACCACTCCACGTGCGGTTCCCAGAGCCGTCGAAGCAGACAGGAAGCAGCAAGAGGGCCCCCGGGGCTGAGGGTTGGGAATGCGGAGTCGGGGTTTAACGGGGACGGAGCCTCGTTTTGGGAGATGGGTGCTGGGGACCGTCAGACCCCCCTGTGGAGGCGCTGGTGAATATGGCGCTCTGCACTGGACATGAATGGTTAAAACGGTACGTTTCAGGGGAGGAGGAGCTAAGATGGTGGAGGAATAGGACGGGGAGACCACTTTCTCCCCCACAAATTCATCGAAAGAACATTTGAACGCTGAGCAAACTTCACAAAACAACTTCTGATCGCTAGCTGAGGACATCAGGTGCCCAGAAAAGCAGCCCATTGTCTTCGAAGGGAGGTAGGACAAAATATAAAAGATAAAAAGAGAGACAAAAGAGCTAGGGATGGAGACCCGTCCCGGGAAGGGAGTCGTAATAGAGGAAGTTTCCAAACCACAGGAAACTTTCTCACTGGCGGGTCTGGGGGAAGTTTTCAAATCTCGGAGGGCAATTAACTGGGAGGAAAAATAAATAAAACCCACAGATTATATGCCTAAAAGCAACTCCCAGCAGAAAAGTACCCCAGACGCCCGCATCCACCACCAGCAAGTGGGGGTGGAACAGAGAGGAGCGGGCAGCATTGCTTAGGGTAAGGACCGGGCCAGAATGCCCTGAGGGCAATCGGAGGGAGCTAACGGGAGACTGCAACTTAAACTGTGGGATAGCAAGAGAGAGAGAGAAAATTAACCGGCCCGAACACACTGCCGGCTGTTCGAAGAACAAAGGAAGAACTGAGCAATCCCAGAGAAGAGCTCGCCAGCTGCCGGCCGGCCCATCCCCGCCGGAGGCAGGAGGCAGCGGGGGAGGGGAAAGGGGCAAACTCGGCCCCAGAGACGGCACCCCTACCAAACTGCAAACAGGCTCCCAGTTTCTAACCAAAGACTTCCTGAGATTATGGATGGTCGACATCTGCCGGGAGGGTCGCGGCTAGAGACCAGCCCCCAGAACAGACACAAGGTGCACCAACTGGCGCGCGTGGAAACTGAGGCTGGGAATGCAGAGGGGATGAGGCACACCACACCTGGGGAGAGTGCGTCCGTCCAGCTCCTGGCTGCCGGAGCTGCTCGGCCGGGGAAGGCACAAAACGCAGGCCCAACCGAGTCCGCGCTTCTGTGTGGTACCCGAAAACTGGAACGGCACGCAACGCAGGGCCCGCTCCATACAGAGCAGCCGGGGGCCTGAGCAGTGTGGACGGGGAAAGCACTGACACCCGTGAGCGGGGCAAACCCAGGGTGGCCGGAGCACGGTGAGTGCCCCCCACACAGCGACATCTGCCTGCAGCGCGCCTCCCTCCCCGCAGCAGGACTGAACCAGCGAGCCTGACCGAGAGACCACCTCCGCCCGCTGTGTCAGGGCGGAAATTAGACGCTGGAGAGGCCGGCAAACAGAAGCCAACAAACAAAGGGAGCCGCTTCAGAGGGGACCGGTGCAACAGATTAAAATCCCTGTAGGTAACACCGACCACACCGGAAGGGGCCTGCAGATATCGAGAAGCGTAAGCTGGAACGAGGAGCTATCTGAAACCGAACCGAACCTACACGGACCGCAACAGCTCCAGACAGATTCCTAGATATATTTTTGCTTTTTTTTTTAATTAAAAAAATTTTTTTTCTTTTCTTATTTTTTCTCTTTTATTTTCTTTTAAAATTCCCTATTACTCCTTAATTTTCATTTTCATTTTCATATATTTTTACTATTTCTTTAATTAAAATGTTTCTCTTTTTTTCTCATTTTCTTTTAAAGTCTTATATTACTCCTCTATTACTCCTTAATTTTCATTTTCATTTCACTATAACCTTGAAAAAAAAAGACCCTATTTTTAAAGCGGACTTCTTATATATTTCTTAAATTTTTTGTGTTTTTGTTTTTGTTTTTAATATTGTATTTTTAAGAGTCTAACCTCTACTCTAGATTTTTAATCTTTCTTTTTCAGTATTTGATATTAATTTTGGACATTTAAGAATCCAATATTCAGTTCCCATTTCTATTCAGGAGTGTGGTGATCACTCTCCCACTTTTGACTCTCTGTTTTCTACCTCGGAACACCTCTATTTCCTCCTTTCCCCTTCTCTTCCCAATCCAACTCTGTGAATCTTTGTGGGTGTCTGGGCTACGGAGAACACTTTGGGAACAGATAACTGCGTAGATCTGTCTCTCTCCTCTTGAGTCCCCTTTTTCTCCTCCTGCTCACCTCTATCTCCTTCCTCCCTCTCCTCTTCTTCATGTAACTCTGTGAACCTCTCTGGTTGTCTCTCACGGTGGAGAATCTTTTCACCATTAACCTAGAAGTTTTATTATCAGTGCTGTATAGTCGGAGAAGTCTTGAGACTATTGGAAGAATAAAACTGAAATCCAGAGGCAGGAGACTTAAGCCCAAATCTTGAGAAAACCAGAAAACTCCTGACTACACGGAACATTAAGGAATAAGAGACCATCCAAAAGCTTCCATACCTACACCAAAACCAACCACCACCCAAGAGCCAATAAGCTCCAGTACAAGACATACCACGCAAATTCTTTAGCAACGCAGAAACATAGACCTGAGTGTCAACATACAGGCTCTCCAAAGTCACACCTAACACATAGATCCATCGCAAAACTCATTACTGGACACTCCATTGCACTCCAGAGAGAAGAAATCCAATTCCACGCACCAGAACGCTGACACAAGCTTCCCTAAACAGGAAACCTTGACAAACCAATCGTCCAACCCCACCCACTGGGTGAAACCTCCACAATAAAAAGGAACCTCAGACCACAAGAATACAGAAAGCCCACTCCAGACACAGCAATCTAAACAAGATGAAAAGGCAGAGAAATACCCAACAGCTAAAGGAACATGAAAAAAGCCCACCAAGTCAAACAAAAGAGGAGGAGATAGGGAATCTACCTGAAAAAGAATTTAGAATAATGATAATAAAAATGATCCAAAATCTTGAAAACAAAAATGGAGTTACAGATAAATAGCTTGGAGACAAGGATTGAGAAGATGCAAGAAATGTTTAACAAGGACCTAGAAGAAATAAAAAAAGAGTCAATTAAAAATGAATAATGCAATAAATGAGATCAAAAACACTCTGGAGGGAACCAAAAGTAGAATAACGGAGGCAGAAGATAGGATAAGTGAGGTAGAAGATAAAATGGTGGAAATAAATGAAGCAGAGAGGAAAAAAGAAAAAAGAATTAAAAGAAATGAGGACAACCTCAGGGACCTCTGGGACAATGTGAAACGCCCCAACATTCGAATCATAGGAGTCCCAGAAGAAGAAGACAAAAAGAAAGGCCATGAGAAAATACTCGAGGAGATAATAGCTGAAAACTTCCCTAAAATGGGGAAGGAAATAGTCACACAGGTCCAAGAAACCCAGAGAATCCCAAACAGGATAAACCCAAGGTGAAACACCCCAAGACACATATTAATCAAATTAACAAAGATCAAACACAAAGAACAAATATTAAAAGCAGCAAGGGAGAAACAACAAATAACACACAAAGGGATTCCCATAAGGATAACAGCTGATCTATCAATAGAAACCCTCCAGGCCAGAAGGGAATGGCAGGACATACTTAAAGTAATGAAAGAGAATAACCTACAACCTAGATTACTCTACCCAGCAAGGATCTCATTCAGATATGAAGGAGAACTCAAAAGCTTTACAGACAAGCAAAAGCTGAGAGAATTCAGCACCACCAAACCAGCTCTTCAACAAATACTAAAGGATCTTCTCTAGACAGGAAATGCAGAAAGGTGGTATAAACGTGAACCCCAAACAACAAAATAAATGGCAACGGGACCATACCTATCAATAATTACCTTAAATGTAAATGGGTTGAATGCCCCAACCAAAAGACAAAGGCTGGCTGAATGGATACAAAAGCAAGACCCCTATATATGCTGTCTACAAGAGACCCACCTCAAAACAAGGGACACATACAGACTAAAAGTGAAGGGCTGGAAAAAAATATTCCACGCAAACGGAGACCAAAAGAAAGCAGGAGTCGCAATACTCATATCAGATAAAATAGACTTTCAAATAAAGGGTGTGAAAAGAGACAAAGATGGACACTACATAATGATCAAAGGATCAATCCAAGAAGAAGATATAACAATTATAATTATATATGCACCCAACATAGGAGCACCGCAATATGTAAGGCAAAGCTAACGAGTATGAAAGAGGAAATTAACAGTAACACAATAATAGTGGGAGACTTTAATACCCCACTCACAACTATGGATAGATCAACTAAACAGAAAATTAACAAGGAAACACAAACTTTAAATGACATAATGGACCAGCTAGACCTAACTAATATCTATAGGACATTTCACCCCAAAACAATCAATTTCACCTTTTTCTCAAGTGCACACGGAAGCTTCTCCAGAACAGATCACATCCTGGGCCATAAATCTAGCCTTGGGAAATTCAAAAAAACTGAAATCATTCCAGTCATCTTTTCTGACCACAATGCAGTAAGATTAGATCTCAACTACAGGAAAAAAAACTGTTAAAAATTCCAACATATGGAGGCTAAATAACACGCTTCTGAATAACCAACAAATCATAGAAGAAATCAAAAAAGAAATCAAAATACGCATAGAAACTAATGAAAATGAAAACAAAACAACCCAAAACCTATGGGACACTGTAAAAGCAGTGCTAAGGGGAAGGTTCATAGCATTATAGGCTTACTTCAAGAAACAAGAAAAAAGTCAAATAAATAACCTAGCTCGACACCTAAAGCAACTAGAGAAGGAAGAAATGAAGAACCCCAGGGTTAGTAGAAGGAAAGAAATCTTAAAAATTAGGGCAGAAATAAATGCAAAAGAAGCAAAAGAGACCATAGCAAAAATCAACAAAGCTAAAAGCTGGTTTTTTGAAAAAATAAACAAAATGGACAAGCTGTTAGCAAGACTCATTAAGAAACAAAGGGAGAAAAACCAAATCAAGAAAACTAGAAATTAAAATGGAGAAATCACAACAGACAACACTGAAATACAAAGGATCATAAGAGACTACTACCAACAGCTCTATGCCAATAAAATGGACAACTTGGAAGAAATGGACAAATTCTTAGAAAAGTATAACTTTCCAAAACTGAACCAGGAAGAAGTAGAAGATCTTAACAGACCCATCACAAGCACAGAAATCGAAACTGTAACCAGAAATCTTCCAGAAAACAAAAGCCCAGGACCACATGACTTCACAGCTGAATTCTACCAAAAATTCAGAGAAGAGCTGACACCTATCTTACTCAAACTCTTCCAGAAAATTGCAGAAGAAGGTAAACTTCCAAACTCATTCTATGAGGCCACCATCACCCTAATTCCAAAACCAGACAAAGATGCCACAAAAATAGAAAACTACAGGCCAATATCACTGATGAACATAGATGCAAAAATCCTTAACAAAATTCTAGCAAACAGAATCCAACAACATATTAAAAAGATCATACATCATGACCAAGTGGGCTTTATCCCAGGGATGCAAGGATTCTTCTTTAATATCCAAAAATCAATCAATGTAATACACCACACTAACAAATTGAAAGATAAAAACCATATGATTATCTCAATAGATGCAGAAAAAGCCTTTGACAAAATTCAACATCCATTTATGATAAAAACTCTCCAGAAAGCAGGCATAGAAGGAACATAGCTCAACATAATAAAAGCTATATATGACAAACCCACAGCAAGCATTACCCTCAATGGTGAAAAATTGAAAGCATTTCCCCTGAAATCAGGAACAAGACAAGGGTGCCCACTCTCACCACTACTATTCAACATAGTTTTGGAAGTTTTGGCCACAGCAATCAGAGCAGAAAAATAAAAGGAATCCAGATAGGAAAAGAAGAAGTGAAACTCTCACTGTTTGCAGATGACATGATCCTCTACATAGAAAACCCTAAAGACTCTACCAGAAAATTACTAGAGCTAATCAATGAATATAGTAAAGTTGCAGGATATAAAATTAACACACAGAAATTCCTTGCATTCCTATACACGAACAATGAGAAAACAGAAAGAGAAATTAAGGAAACAATACCATTCACCATTGCAACAAAAAGAATAAAATACTTAGGAGTATATCTACCTAAAGAAACAAAAGACCTCTACATAGAAAACTATAAAACACTGATGAAAGAAATCAAAGAGGACACAAATAGATGGAGAAATATACTGTGTTCATGGATTGGAAGAATCAATATTGTGAAAATGACTATACTACCCAATGCAATCTATAGATTCAATGCAATCCCTATCAAGCTACCAATGGTATTCTTCACAGAACTAGAACAAATAATTCCACAATTTGTATGGAAATACAAAAAACCTCGAATAGCCAAAGTAATCTTGAGAAAGAAGAATGGAACTGGAGGAATCAACCTGCCTGACTTCAGGCTCTACCACAAAGACACAATCATCAAGACAGTATGGTACTGGCACAAAGACAGAAATATAGATCAATGGAACAGAATAGAAAGCCCAGAGACAAATCCATGAACCTATGGACACCTCATCTTCGACAAAGGAGGCAAGGATATACAATGCAAAAAAGACAACCTCTTTAACAAGTGGTGTTGGGAAAACTGGTCAACCACTTGTAAAAGAATGAAACTAGAACACTTTCTAACACCATACACAAAAATAAACTCAAAATGGATTAAAGATCTAAATGTAAGACCAGAAACTATAAAACTCCTAGAGGAGAACATAGGCAAAACACTCTCCGACATAAATCACAGCAGGACCCTCTATGACTCACCTCCCAGAATACTGGAAATAAAAGCAAAAATAAACAAATGGGACCTTATGAAACTTAAAAGCTTTTGCACAACAAAAGAAACTATAAGCAAGGTGAAAAGACAGCCTTCAGAATGGGAGAAAATAATAGCAAATGAAGCAACAGACAAAGGATTAATCTCAAAAATATACAAGCAACTCCTCCAGCTCAATTCCAAAAAAATAAATGACCCAATCAAAAAATGGGCCAAAGAACTAAAAAGACATTTGTCCAAAGAAGACATACAGATGGCTAACAAACACATGAAAAGATGCTCAACATCACTCATTATCAGAGAAATGCAAATCAAAACCACAATGAGGTACCATTACACGTCAGTCAGGATGGCTGCTATACAAAAGTCTACAAGCAATAAATGCTGGAGAGGGTATGGAGAAAAGGGAACCCTCTTAACACTGTTGGTGGGAATGCAAACTAATACAGCTGCTATGGAGAACATAGCGGAGATTCCTTTGGAGATCTCCTTCCATATGGAGAACATATGGAGATTCCTTTAAAAAATAGAAATAGAACTGCCATATGACCCAGCAATCCCACTTCTGGGCATACACACCGAGGAAACCAGATCTGAAAGAGACACGTGCACCCCAATGTTCATCGCAGCACTGTTTATCATAGCCAGGACATGGAAGCAACCTAGATGCCCGTCAGCAGATGAATGGATAAGGAAGCTGTGGTACATATACACCATGGAATATTACTCAGCCATTAAAAAGAATTCATTTGAATCAGTTCTAATGAGATGGATGAAACTGGAGCCCATTATACAGAGTGAAGTAAGCCAGAAAGATAAAGACCATTACAGTATACTAACACATATGTATGGAATTTAGAAAGATGGTAACGATAACCCTATATGCAAAACAGAAAAAGAGACACAGATGTACAGAACAGACTTTTGGAGTCTGTGGGGGAAGGCGAGGGTGGGATGATCTGAGAGAACAGCATTGAAACATGTATAGTATCTAGGGTGAAACAGATCACCAGCCCAGGTTGGATGCATGAGACAAGTGCTCAGGGCTGGTGCACTGGGAAGACCCAGAGGGATGGGGTGGGGAGGGAGGCGGGAGCGGGGATCAGAATGGGGAACACATGTAAATTCATGGCTGATTCATGTCAATGTATGCCAAAAACCATGCAATATTGTAAAGTAATTAGCCTCCAACTTAATAAAAAATAAATAATAAAAAATAAAAATCTTCCAACAAACAAAAAAACAACAAAACGGTACATTTCTTTGTGTACATTTCACATTGTTTTTTTTAATAATAAAAATATCTTTAAAAAAAAAGAAAAGAAAGAAGAAAGCTCTCCAGTGAATCCCATGCCCTGAACCTTTTATATCTCTCACCTCCTGAGCCTGAAAGGCCGGTTCTTCTCCCTCTGCTTCCCGCCTGTCCCCACCTCCTGCCCGTCTTCCCCGGGATTGTCCTTCCTCTCCCAACTGCATCCTGTGAGCCCAGGCCAGCCCACTCCTCTCAGTCGGCGTTGCTGCGGCCTCTGCTCTGCGTTCTGTTCTGTCTACGACAGGCTGAGCTCTGCATCACCTGCCTCCCTCCGCGGCCCCTGCTGGGTGGCCGTCTGTCGGTGGTCCCGGCCCACGCCCCCTGCCCGCACCCTCAGCCGCTGCAGCTTTTGCTCCCAGTCACCCCACGCTCGGTGCCCCCTCCGCCTCCGCCCACAGCTGCCCCGGGCATCCTCCTGCCCCGCTGCTGCACCTTCAGCATCCCTCACACCTGGAAGCCCAGCGGCCTCGCTCAGCATCACCGGAGACTCCCGGAGGCAGGAAGCTGCGCCCCGCAAGGACCGCTATGTGCTGCTTTTGCCCTCGGCTCCCAGCAGGTGTTCCACCGCAGCCAATCGATTGATCCAAATAGATTTCAACTCAGGCAGCTGAGCTGAGCAAACATCAGGTTGCTAATCAGTCTCCAAGATGTCAGCCGTGCTATTTTAAAGCTATTTAGGATGTGCAGTCTTGGCCCGCGGTGACTGCCAGTGGCAGAAAGGAGTGAGGCCTCCTCGTTTGGGAGGCGGCGGCTCCTGGGTCACCTGAGGGCACAGCTGGGGGCCCCTGGGAACTGCGTGGGAAGGAGCTGAAAGGTGTGAGACAGAGGGGTGCCACGCGGAGAGGACTGCCACCTCCGAGACGCGGCCTCTGCTTGGGGGCAGCTTGAATCCCGCTCTCAGACCTCGGCGGTGCAGGAGTTGCCAGGGTCGGCCTGTCTCCAGGGCAGAGGGAAGGTCAAGGTCAAAGGTGCCCCGGCCTCCCACGGCCCCCGCCTCTCCACCCTCCCACCCCTGCTCATTCCCCTCACCCTCCCCATGCCGTCCTACTAAAGCTGCACCCGTCGGGGGGGGGATGGAAGTCCGAAAAGGCAAGGGCATGTCCCTTGGTGGGGTGCCCCTCACTTGCCCATCCTCACCCGCCCTGAAGCTCTTGCATCACTGGTGCTTGAGCCCCTCTGTGCCAAGTGCTGGCAGAGAGCGAGTCCTAGGGCCAGGCTCCCAGCCCTCCCAGGACTGATGCCGTCTCTCACCCGTGATGTTGCAGTGTGCAGGGCCTGGTTTAGACCCCGACGGGCCCTTATGCACAGGGGAGGGCCCACGTGGCGGGGGTGGGGGTGGGTGGGGCCCATGTTGGGGGAGGGGCTCACACTGGGGGAGGGGACCGCAGTCAGCAGGTAGGGACAACTCTCAAGGTGTGCGATGCACTTCCCGGATAGCAAGGTGCTGAGGACCTGGGGCTCACCTGTTACACCTGAGCAGAGGAAAGAGAACCTCTTTAATGGGGGCACATGGCTTTTTCCAGTTCTTTATGATTTAAAAGCAGCGCTCTTTGTAGAATCGTGGGAAGGCCGGTTTCTGGTTTTGCAGGCCCCAGGCGTCTTGCCTTCAGGGCTCACACGCGACCTGGCTGATCGCTTCCCTTCTGGAGGAACCTGAGGATTCACAAGCACTTGCTCTTGGGAACGTCCTGCTGGGTGTGGACCCAGAGGACTGGGGCGGAAGGACGGCTCCAGACATGCTTGTTCAGTGGAAGCCCCGATGAGGAGCCCCCTGAGGGCTCCAGGGGTCGCCGGGGTTGGGCAGGGTTCACCTGGAGCATTCCTCTGTCCTCGGTAAGGGACCTCCCGGCCCATGGCCCCCCCCACACATTTCCTGGTAAGATCTTACAAAGCCCCCAAGCGACCTCATTCTGCTGTTATTTAGAGAATGAAAGATGTCTCTGTTCACAAATACTTTCTCACCATGGAAACTGATGGTTGAGATTCTCCCAGTTGAGCTGCTTTTTACACAAGCGCACCTGTTGGAATGTGGCTCCAGAACCCTAAGGATTCCCAAAGGCGGAAGTGGAGACACTCACCTGGGCCCTGAGGACCTTTCTTGAGCACCCTGGGGAGTTTTAACGGCTGGGTGGGTGGAGAACCGCTGCCTTGAGCCCCCGGGACTCAGGGAACCCCCAAGATGGTCAGGGAACCCCCGTGGGGTTGCCCGCCTCTCCGGAGGGTCTGCTCACAGCCCAGCCTCTCCAGCCAGTTAACCCAGAGATCCAGCCTGCTCAGCCGCAAACCCAGACCCAACTTGGGGAGCTCTGCAAATGACACAGAGTAACTGAAGGTTCTGTTGGGGGTGGAGGAGAGGCTTGCGTTGCCCCCACAGAGGCAGCTGACTGGAGCCTGCTAACTCCTCTCAGCTTTGCAAACTGCCAAGCCTTTTCTCAGTCGTCTTGCTCTGACTCATCTTACTGTGACGCTGGGGGCTGGTGTCCAACCTCCCATGGCAGGAGGGGCTCTTTAAGGCATTTTTCAGTGCTGAGCCGGGGCACTAAATAAAGAATCTGCTGGTCAATGCGGAAGACACAGATTTGATCCCTGGGTCGGGAAGATCTCCTGGAGGAGAAAATGACAACCCACTCCGGTATTCTTACTTGAAAAATCTCATGGACAGGAGTCTGGTGGGCTACAGCCCACAGGGTCGCAAAGAGTTGGACACGAGTGAGCAACTAACTGTTTATGTTGACTCCGTTCATGGTGCTTTTCAGGTCTATTGTATCCTTCTACTTTTCTGTCTATTTGTTCTATTTTTAAGAGTTTGGTATTGAAACTCCAACTAAAAATCTTAATTTATCTACTTAAAAAAATAATTGTAATATATAGTGGAACTATATGTAACCTTGTTCTGTATTTTACAAGTCTCATACATGTATTATTATACTTTCATAAATTTAAAAATAAAAAAGTAAAGATACCTATCATGTTGGACGAGGTCCCACCCAAGTGACCTCATTTAACCTCCTGGGTTGGCCGTTCAACATGGGAATCCACAGGTGTGGGGGACACAGTTCAGCCTGCAACAGGGGGTCAGGTCATAGGGTGCAGGGATGCGTTCATGCCCCAGAGGCCGTGGTAGAAACCTATTGGCCTGGGGTGGCGGGCTGGGCCTCTGCCGGTGAGCAGGCTCTCCCATAGGCCCAGGGCCGGGTGAAGGAGCTTGGAGGGGCAGCGGGCCACCCTGCCCTCCTGGGCAGCTTTGAGTGGAGACAGGCTGCCATTCCTAGCCAGGATGGGGGATCCTGGAGCTTCTGTCGGGCAGACTGGGACCCGGCTTGGCAGCCCCTTCACTTGGAGAAGCCCCTCTGCTTCCTCAAACCCCACCGGCTGGGGGTCCCTGGTCTGGGTCTGTCTATTCATGCCCCAACCTCGGCCCCCGGTGCCTCACAGTGGCCTCTGCGCAGGGCTTAGGTCCCAGGGTCATCACCCAGCAGGTAGCTTACCTTGGGCAGGTTTTGTCCCTGCCCTGGGCTTGGTTCCCTCGCCTGGAAATTGGGACAAGCTCACGGCCCTCCAGGGCCGCCCCGAGGACCACAGTGAGCAGGGGGCAGCCCATGGCCCAGCCCTGATGGAGCGGGGAAGGGGGCAACGCTGCCCAAAAAGAGAAGAAACGCACAAGGGCAAGGTCACACCATCAGCTCCGACTCAGCAAGCTGCTGGGGCTCACATGCTTGCTACCCTGGAAGGTTAAAAGAGAAGACGTGCCCGGCGTGGTCACAGCCTGCAGACTCAGAGGGTTTCCTGCGAGCTGCGGAGGTCGCTTCGTCCTTCTATGAAAAGGAATCTTGAACGCCGACTAGCCAGTCCTCCTGTCTTGGGAGAGGACACAGAGACAGCTGTGAGCGGGGGTGTCGGTGGTGGGGGGCCCACGGATGGGACACCCAGGGCGTGGCTCGGGTCACCAGACAGAGAGCGCGTGACTGGAGGCTGGGGGTCAGCTCCTGCCTGTCCTGAGACGAGTGCTGGACTCAGTGCTTTGTTTTGTTAACTCAGTTCTCCTGATGACCCTGTGGGGCACCTAGTGCTGTGATGCCCATTCTAGAGATGGAGAAACCGAGGCGCCCATAAGTGAGCATCCAGGGTCCCACAGTGAAGGTGGAGGAGGCTTTGGACCCAGGCGGTCTGACTTTCAAAGTCCGTGTTCTTCACCTCTCTGCTTTACCACCTCAAAACCACTGGTTCTCAGCAACCGGGCCCTGGCCTGGCAGGGAGCTGGCCCAGACCCTCTGGGTGGACCCCACAGGCCCTCCAGTGGGTTCTGGTGCCCAGGCCTGAGAACCACTGCCTTCCTGTCCCTTCGTTCCGCGGAGGCCTTTGCTGGAGGTAGAGAGGCGTAGGAGAGGTCGGGGGAGGCTGGGACGACTCCTCCAGGACACATCGGGTCACTGATGTTGAATTTTAATGAGTGCAAGAAATGGCCTGGGCTGGGAGGATGCCACGCTGGTGTTTGGTCTATTTCTTTCTGCAGAAGGAAGCTCGGGGCTTATTTCTATCTTTCCTTTTCCCCCTTGCCAAGTACCTACCACAGAGCTGACCACTGGTAATCAATAAGCTTTTATGGTGCTCCTAAATTACTTGCTTCTGCATAAAGCAAGCCTGAGAGCAATAGATCTCTGCTGGGACAGGCTTCCTGGATGGAGGCTGTGTTTGTGGGAGAGGAGGGGCTCTGGGCGGCGAGGCGGCGCAGCTCTGGAAACCCGGCGGGCCCTAGTGCCAGGGGCTTCTGTCTCCTTTTTCTCTTCTCTCTCCTTCGTTTCCTTTTCCTTCTTCCTTCTTTCCTCCTTCCTTCCTTCCTCCCCCATCCTTTCCTCCTTCCCACCGTCTCTCCATCCATCCCTCCTCCCTCCTTCTCTCCGTCCTCCCTGCCTCCTCCCTCCTCCCTGCCTCCCCCCTGCCTTCCTGAGCCAGGACCCTGGATCTGGGAGGCCGGGGGTGGCAGCAGGCAGGGTCCACTCCATCAGCTGCAGCAACCCCTCGCAGAGCTGCTGTTCGGTCCCAGCAGCTCCGAACTCGCTGGTCCGGAGATCTTAGCAGGGACAACCTTCCCCACCCCGGGCAAAACAATGGCGTCATGGAGTTGGAAGATGCCCCTGCCACCCGGCTGTTTTGGGCTCTTGACGCCTCAGAACCACTGGGCAGAAAAAGGGGTCAGGCCACTGGCTGGAGTGACAAACCCCAGTAACCCAGGGGAGACTGTGAATCGGGCAGCAAGGACTGCGTCTGGAATCTGGGGGGCTCCTGGGGTAAGTCGGCGTATTCCCTGCCTCATAGGAAGGTCAATGGAAAACTACAGCAACCAGAAAAACAGGAAAAGGTCGGATGATTCAGGATTCAGACCACTGGGCACACGAAGGTTTGGGTAGTTTCACCAGGTCAGGACCCAGATGACGGTGGATGTTCTGACTGGGGGCTCGGGAGCCTGGAGTGGGCGGC